AAATATTGAGGACATGAGTCTACAAAATTCTTTTTCATCTCCCAGCCTTCTGAGACGGACGATTCGACTCTCCCATATCTTTGTGGTTTACATTTTTTCCATAAATAGAACTTTTAAATGGAAATCTCAACTGAAAGCCTGTTGTTAGAGGAAATACTATTTCCGTATTTGTCTGGTCTTTATTTCTGCCTTAACTGAAATTCATACTCTTTGATAAATATAAAATTCTTTTCTACCGAACCAAAGCACTCAAGTAGGTATTAAACAGAAAAAATGGCTTACGTTATTTGTCAACCAATACTGAGCTGACTATGATATATCAAAGCTACGTAGAATACGAATCCAGCTCTTGATCAGTTGTGTGACCGGCTATCTCCCAGGAAGACCTAACTTGATATATTGTGGAAAAACTTAACTGTCAATTCGTAAATAACCTTAAGAGAGCTGGACTGATTAAATTTGCACACAAGAACTACTGATGGCCTCCGAACCTACTTACGGCGAAAATAAGTGATGCAATCTATTGCAATGGCACATTTGCCTAATTGATAATACCTCCATAAATGTGGTGGGATAGGCCTGGCTAGCCTTGAATATCACATTTGTTCCGAGACTTAGTGGAAACGTCACCAGGAAACTGTCAGCCCCGTTACGAATCCTGCTGCGGGTACCGAGATGTCCTATGCGAGGTCGAAACTGGAGCTCACTAAGCATAAGATAACTTTTTGGGAGACAGGGCTAACTAAAATTCAATAGCACCATGAGTCAATTTAGTTCATTGTAGGAAGACTCAAAATAAATCATAAAGCGAAATAGGGTGACTAGGTTCGCTGATAAATGATACCAGAGACTTAGTAAACAGACAGCTAGTTATAGGCAATTTCGATTCATCATCACGAATAGGCTTCGTGTAAAAAAACTAGTTCAGGGTAGGAAGAAAAATGGAGAATAAGTCAAAAATTTCCTTCTCCAGAAAACGTGAGCAGTGAAGTAATATTGTTAAATATAAGGCCAAAAATTACAGTCAGATTAGTGTGCTTTCTAATATTGCCGTTAAAGAACAATAGAAGGACGGCAGCACAAGGACTATATTGCCCAATATGAATAAAAGAAAAGGTCTTGATTTAAAAAATTTATATTTTAAAATATACAATTGCATCTGAAGATAGTCCTGAGATAAAAAGGGAGTCAGAAAAATGTATATTTATGTATAATGATGGTGGCGTGTAAATAGAAATCAGAATCATGGAATGGTACATAAGAGGTATATGGAGGAGCGGAGAATTAGTGTAACTACTCATTCAAAATCCATCAATGAATGTTTTCGAAGAGAGCTTAGGGAAATTGTAACACTTTTCTAACACTATTAGGGTTTTAATGATGCTAGTTAGGTTAGTAATAACATACACAAGGCAGCGGTAAACAGATAAAATAAATTCAATACCAGAAAAAGTTGCATTCACGGTCTTCTAAAATGATATTCCTGTATACGTTCAATCTATATGAGTATTAGTGTGCTTCTTTGTTTTCATGGAAGTATTGGAATACAAGTATGCTCAAAATTGAAGGGGAAAATTCCTAAGATCAAATTAATTGGCAGCGCATTGCCTGTGGGCCAAAGTTGTCAAAATTACCAATAGAGATCAGAAAATGCATTGTAAGAGATGCCGGGGTTCTTACACAAAGGGGATGCTATTAGACTTCAATCAAGAACATTATAAGAATTATACGAGATATCAAGATCAAATACAAGCAAAGAATTGAAAGTTGGAGAAAAAATCAAGATGTCCCAATAAAACGGTATCATGAAAAAAGGAAGCTTAAAAACAGGAGGCAATGAAATAAAAATGTTTAATTTAATCAAAGCTAGTCTGAGAAATGTTCAAAGCAATCGTTTTCGGCAGTTAGGCTCGCCGCAGTAACAATACAGCACTTTGAATGGTACTTGGTCAACAGTGTAGCCGTAGTCCCAAGTCATTTCTTCTCCTGCTTCAATATTACTAAAGGAAAGGAGAGTTATGTACGAGAACATGAATAAAATCTCTTTGCTTATCGAGAAAAACATCCTTCTCACAATGTAACAACTCAAAATAAACTTAATGAAACCACATAACAAACAATAAAATTTGAACAATGTCAAAACGAAGATAATATTCATAAAAGCATCACCATTGAGTATTATCGCAATAATAAATCATAGCAAAGGAATGCATTTTTCTTTATTATTTGAATTAAGTAGAATATAAAAACGAAACAGGGTACGATCCTTTCAATAGTTATGCTATGGGATAAATTTAAACATGATCAAAGGCAAGAAAGACTAATCAAGGTCGGATACCAGATTAGATAATTAATATGAGGTGCTGTAAAAGTTATACATTTGACTTCAAATTATATTGTTTTCTTTTATATGGTTCTACCAGAATATGAAGTATTAAATATTGCAATGCTGTGATTTCTTAGGACGATAGAGCCAAGCTGGCCGAAAAAGCATTATTGATCCCGTCTATATGCCTGTTAAAACGAAGCTAGACAGTATACGAAGGGGAATTGGAGTACGAGGCTAGGTCCTACTCGTCTTAACGGAAGAAATAAAGGGAAAAACTACATAAAGCTAGATAGTAATTGACTTACCGTGCTGCGAAAAACGCGACTTCAGGGAAACGTGGATCGTGACTTGTAATGAAGACATTTTGTACAAAAACATTGGGATTGCATGAATGATTGAAGTAGCGGCCAAGGTTTCCTATTTTTTTAGCATCCATGATGTAGGGATGATGGTCGTTGAAATAGCGTCGAGCGCGCAACCAATCTGGCTGGCGAACTGGATAGAACTGGCGACGGCCTGTTGAACCAACCAGTACCGATTCACGGACTCCGCAACCGGCCTCGCAACCAGCTTGATGAATCTGCTGACGTGCCTTTTCATATTTATGTTGCTGTTTATGTTGCAAGTGTTGGCATTGGTTTTTGATATGGTGACGGCAGTGGTGATGCTTACAGTGTGAGTGGAGATAAGGGTGGTGCCCACGATGCCGATGACGACGAGCAGTACATGGCATGAGGTAGGCGGATTGAGATCGTGTAGTGCGATTTTTTCTATGTTTCTCGCTTGTTGATTGCGCAAGCGTCGAACGCTGAACAATGGATTGTGGCTGAGCCTGCTCTGTAACCTCGGGGGGCGCAGATGTAGCACCGTCAATTTTGGTTCCAGCTGTGCTTCGCGAAGAGCGATGCCTATTATGACGATGGACACGATCGTGGTGAGGTCGGGAAGGCAAATTATTTTTGGTCAACTCCGGTTGACTAGATCCAGAAGTAGTTGGAGGAAGACTCGTCTCTCGCCCGTTACAGCTGCGCAGGGTCCGAGCACGACTTTCTATAAAAGTGTATTATCAGGCTGACTTATTAAGTGAAGAGTTCATTGGTGTGGCGAAAACCATCCATTAGGAATGACTCAATGCCAGCCCCAAACCAAAGAATTTGATAAGATATTAGAGTGCTCAGAATCAAATCGAAGCGGTAGGAGTTCATTAATGAGCATTTTTTTTAAATAAAACAAAAAATATCAAGACTAAAATCATGTGTGTTTTAAACCACGATAATCCTAGAATTTGATGCCCTGGATCAATGATGAACTCCATAGTGTTGTTCATATAACAGATTCATGTCATACCAAAATACAGACTAGGCCTTTACTTAATTTAACGTACAAATATTATAGATATGAAGGCCAAGATGGTGTGGCCTTTTGCTTGGTCGCAGTTTCCTTTAGCTGTATAGTGTTGGTTTGACCTCGTTTTCTCAACTTGATCGAGGCAACAAATAGACCTTGTGGAACGTACCTAGTAATGCATCCTCTGCCATAGTATTCATGATTTTCAGCATCGGAAAATTGACCTGGTACATATCCAAACGTCTCGCCAGCATCGTCAGTAAGAGGCGCCATCCTTAGCACAGACTTACAGCTTATCAAAATAACAAGTTAAGACAATGATCCTAATCAATTTTCTGTTCAATCGTTTTGGCATTATTCCTCGCCCCTACTTTTTGTTCTGAATCTCTTCCTCTCAACCCCATCACATATGCTCACTTTTCTTATTCACACCATTCTGTGCTTTCGTTTCCTCTAACGTCGCCTAAGAGTGTGGATTTAGTGAGACATAACCATCTTCATCACCGGTTTCAGATGCCATTCACAGGGCTTCTGACATTTATTTAGGCCCCCGCCACTGTTTGTCTGTTGTTCGTTAGTACACATGGTTGTCTATAAGCCCTCAATTATGGTCCTCATTTACGTAATATTCAAGGATTTAAAACAGGTGCGCCGTTTTTTCGTCTATAACTGGGATTTCGAGACTTATGACTGAACATCTTCCTTCCATTTAGGCTTCAGACCTATTACTCAGTTATCATTCTCATCCCCACCCCATTCTCTCTGATTATCTGCGGCATATCAGGCTTGATTTGAAACAGCTGGTTTGAAAATGGACCTCTTCCATTCTCCACTCCTGAATCACGTAAAGTACACCCCTTTTCTATTTCAAGTTGGCAGTCCCAACTAATCCCAGAGCTTTATTTAGTTGCGCATGTTCACGTAGGTTGGTAACCAAGTTAATTTGCTTACAAAGAAAAGCAAACTCATAAACGATATACCGTACTATGGGGGTAGAAAAAGAACATTGCGTCGTAAGGAGATGCGGCAACTACACAATTTAAATCATGCTTCATGCAACAGGAATCCTATTCAAGTATAACCAACATTAAAACAAAGGCCAGTTTAAAGCCTGAGTCTGGGCAAGCGATAAGATAATGATATATAGATTTATATTATCGATTTCTAATAAATAATAGTAGTAAATACTAGCAACTAACATATGATAACTATTTTGTGAAACTATTACTCCTTTTAACTCGTCAATTTATTAAGTTAGGCTGATTATGCTCCTGGATTAAAAAAGAATAAGGGAAAAACTAAATCCTTCGACCGAAAAGAATGAAAATAGGATATAAAAATGTATAGCAACATAGAAACGGTTACCTTTGGAGTAGGTAGCATCAACTGAAGCACTTCGAGCACTAAATAGGTAAAAAAATAAAAAACAAATTAAAAGATAAAAATGACAGCATTAAAACTTTTTGAGAATGTGCAATAAGTGAACTGGGAACAATAAGAGCAAGTTGTAATGAGGTTTCAGATTTATGAAGTTACTCTTCGCACTGATCATAATAAAGTAATAATAAAAAAATGCTGATTAAATCAGTAATAAAAAAAGCTTTAGGATGCAAATATCATATGAAAAATTCCACTATTAATCCTAGGAAATGCTCATTATGTACTCGTAGATATGAAGACAAAGATGCTGTAACCTATGCTTTAGTCGCAGCCTCCTATCATTGTAAAGAAGTGATTTTACCTCACTTTCACGGCTTGATCATGATGTCAGGGCGACCTAGTTGAGCGCACCTTGTCTGAAATCCTCTGCTATAATAGTTGTCATAATTCCCAATGTTTGCCAATTTTCCAAGCCCGCGATCCGACTCTGGGAATTATCATAACTACTATAGCATAGGACGAGGTCGTCCTGACAAAATGACCAAGTTGCGAAAATGAGAACAAAACATTTCTTACCAGATACTGTTTAAAAAGCAGTTATTTTCAAAAGGGATCAAATGAAAAAAATATGGACACCAGAAAAAGTGCCAAGCGAGTATATATTCACCAACAACAAAAATTCAAAAAGTTGGTTCCACCTTTGGCGAAATCTTCTTCGCCGCCGTCCAGAGATGCTATGTGAGGCTTTATCTGAAGGATTGGCCTTATGCCTACTTGAGACAAGAGATTTGGAGTGATCTGAATGGATAGGAACCCCGTCAGCAGGGACCGCCGATACTGATCGAGGTCGGGACGAATCAGTGATCAGTGATGGGGATGATGAAGAAGACTGGGGAGCTGAGGCCTGGCGAACTCGAGTTCCAACATTGTCATCATAGACTGAACCATCTGCATCACGTGTAGTAGAGCGACGCGCACCAAGCCTGATAGTCAGTTTTAACGAAACCGATTGGCTGTTGGCTGCCACAGGTACGCAATGACCGAACATATGTTCAGGATCACCTGAAGTAATGTAGCAAGACGGAAGGCGAATAGGATAGGTAAGATTGAAGATATATTAATTAAATTACTTAATGAAGGCGTAAAATGCTAAAAATTATTATAACGAATAAAGGAAAATTTCTCTGAGAATGAGAGCGTCACAGCTCTTCAAATCTACTTACAATAAATAATGGAGGTTATACAAACAACAAAGTCTGCACCATGATTAATGAAACTGTGGTAGAGAAATTCAACTCAAGAAGCCCATATTTAACTCATTTTAAATGCAACTCAGCAAACTAAGAAATACTAACAAACAGTGATCGCAAATTTAAGAAAAAGATGCCTACCCGAACAATCAGTCAAGGGTGAATCGATAGTAGACACAAGATCTTGGCAAAATCCCCGTCTTTTTCTCTTCTTTTTTTTGTCTTTCCTATTTTTTTTCCTGTGTTTATTTTTACTTTCCTTTCCCTCAGGAGCTGAACGATTGCAAAGGAGATTTTGGAGGTCTGAATTAATGCCGAGAAAATAAAATATTTAAAAGATGGAGGGGATAAATAAACTGAGAAACTGGAATATCCCCTATTATATAGACAATATCACTTAATTTTGTCAGTTAATTACAGTAAACTCAGAAGAAAATATCAAGTAAATAGGGTACTTAGAAAATTAATTTAGGATTACAGAAAAAGATAGATAAGGCAGAAAAAAATAGTGACATAGACTAGGTACAATACAAAGATGGTGTGGAAAGTCAATAATGGCGTAGATTATCGGTAGTGTTGTGAAAGTGACCATAAAATAAAAAAATTATATATTAGAATGCAAAGTAGGGTAATTGTTAGAAACAATTAAATCCTATTCAAGCGTAGATATAGCACAAATGCCTAAGCATGCATATGATCTTATGCCCCTTACTATAAAATAGGAACAGAATATTAAAACAATCGGAGTTGTAAGAAGATGTCCTAAAAAACAATCACAACGCTGTGTCTACGTAAGTGAAAATTCTAAGGGCAACTAGCTCACTAATTTGTGAAGTAGCTCTCTAAGTAATACGCGTCTGAGAGTGCCATGTTAGAGAAGCAGGAAACAAGAAGATCCAGATAAATATGGCAATAAAATAAGCTTGGGATAGAACGAATATTGACTAATTACCTGATAATGGAGTTAGTGAGACTACTGGTATTTTTTCAAAGTCAGCTAAAGTCAAAATCTCTTGTAGATTTCTAAATGGTTGATTTATCCCCGGAGGTAGCCCGAGAGAAAGAAGCTTTTCTACGTCATTTGGTGACTCTTTGCTCCTGATTTTTAGGGCTTGTGAATTTGAAGAGCTCGCAGAATCCGTTTCCGCAGCCTCAGGAACAAATATATTATCGTATTTTTGAACTAAACGATTAGGCAAGGCACCATCACGATCGGCTGTCCAGGAACCACAACCAGGACATGAATGCATTAAAGAACAGCGAGGTCTTAAGCTCTTGCGCGCAGAGTTAAAGAATCGTTTAGAAGTAAGTTGTAGTGGCTCAATAGGATCAGGATCTAAAGTCATCTCCGACGCAGGAGTGGGTGGTGGGGTAGTATAAAGCGAGACACAAGAAGATGATGGCTTGAGAATGGGATCAGCGTATATATACTCGATATTGGAACCTGCTAAAATAGGCGTAACAATTTGATCGATCACCTTATCTTCATTTAGATCGTCTGTCATAATTTCTGCAAGAGGCGATTGAGCGGCGGGGCTGAATTTTATAAGACCAAGATCCTGTGAAGTATTTTTAGAACCTGGATCGACGGTAGGGACTTTCCCAATCTGTTCGCTGCTAATCCGAGAACTAATTTCATCGTCTTTAACAGAATTCCTGTCAGAATCTGCTTCCCTTTGACTTTCAATCTGGCTAGACGGACAACACTTGGAAGCAATATCCTCCGAGCTAAGCTTATCCACTTTAGAATCAAGTTCTGATAAACAAGCAGGTGCATTGCATTCTTTTGTAGTGCTGATTGCTAAAGCATCAATTTCCGCCGAATATGAAAATCCGTTGTCCTGAACAGACTCTTGGAGGGCAATGAAAGTGATCTTATCAATTTCCTCCTCTTCTGTGCCTAGCATATCGACATCTCCATGGCGCTCCTCTCCTTTGGCTCGTGGCGAGCTCGGGGAATCTATTGAAGATTCGCTGAATAAGCTACAGGCCTCCTGACTTACTGAACAGAACACATCTTGCCCTGCAATGCTGATTCCTCCACTACTACTACTACTACTGCTATCACTGCCACTAATATTACTTCCTGCTGCCGTGCTGCCGCTCAGGATGCTTACACTACTGTCGCTGGGAGTGCCGACGATGTCACCATCGGGACCGACAACGAGGCTGTGTGTGCTGCCGCAGCGACTAAAGTGGCCACTACTGGAGCTACTGCTGGCACTACTATTGATGTTGCTAATACAAACGCAGCTGCTCGTTCCACTACTCACACTGATTACATCATCTGTAGTAGTTTCGGCATGCTTTAACCTAGAATTCAGGGAGGATGGCGAGGAGGCACTTGCTCTGCCAGAGTGGACGGCAGCGTTTGGTTGGAGGCGAACACCAAGGGAATAGTGAGGGAGAGCTGAAGCTGGCAGCGCCGTAAGACTAACCACCAACGGTTTCAGTTCTATGGCCTCCTGCTTTAAATTATCATTTGAGGCCATATCAAGTCGGCAATCGGATTGTCCACAAGGCTCTATCTTTATATCTTCTTTTGGTTTAGTTGGTACACAAGAGTCAAGTCCAGGACTTCCTGTTCGCGTTAAAACATTCAACATCCGGTCGAAGGATCGTTGTTCGTAAATCCTGCCTGAGCCGCTCTCCTCAGGCGAATTAATCCCCGCATTAAGTGAATCGATCACGTTCGTGCTCACTTCCACACCGTTAGAATTCGATGTAACGTCACATTGACCATTAATTAAGAGTGCAGTGGCAACAGCAGAGCATTTGCCTCCTAAAATATCTTTTTCTAAAAGTTCACGACGTTGCTTCTCTTCACTGTCAGATGGCTCATCGACAAATGATTCATAACCCTCCTTGGACTTTTCGATGGTTTCGATATAATCCAGATCTGCCTGGTATTCGTCACCATAATCATGACCTTCCTAAATGAGGCAAAGAGAAAAAGCATCATAAAGCAATAGATTGTCAATATAGATTTGTCACAAAAGTGCGAATAAAACAGTAAGGATTTAGCATTCTCGTATTATTTAAGTTAATATCAACCAATTAAAAGTTAAATGAGACCTTAACAGCTGTCTCTTCATTGTAAATGGCCCCCGCATAGATGCAAAGGAATGTCCCCTTGGGGATAGCATGAAGAGCACGGATTCCCCAGCCTCTGAGAAAAAAAAGAAATAAAATAAAATGAAGGGCTAGTCAACAACAAAACTGCATAAAGTTGGCAGGTATGTAGAAATGTTTAAGTTGAATAAACGCCTAGAGTTTTTACCGCTATAATGAAAACTTGAGTAAAAGTAAATATTTTATACGAAATTATCTGCCTTTAATGCTGCGCAGCTATTGAATAGAGCTAATTGAGCTAGAATAATTAAGAGATCGAAGAAACAGATATGAAATCACTGTGACTTACTTCCTCTCTGTTTTAAAGACTTGCATCCGTACCCAGACCCCTTGCTGGACCACTCGATTGCCACAACGTCGATCACACTGACAACGGCTATTGCATTCGTAAATTCCACCAACCGTAAATTGATTTAATCGTCTATGTCGATAACCAGCTTGATGGTCGACTTGTCCAGATGGATTTGTCAAAGAACTTGCCTCAACTGAAAAAAGAATATTTAAAAAATTTTAAATAATGATATTGAGTCTTTGGCTTACTGGGTAAAATTGGATGGGAGTTGGCATATTGATAAATCATGGGGGATTATCTCAGAGTTATTGGAATAGCTAAAGGAGAACTAGCTAAAAAAGCGAAAGTTTGCTTAGAACTAAAATCAAATAGTCCAGATAAATTAAATGAACACATTCTGACCAAAATTAGAACTAGACAGGCTCACTCCGGATAAATGAATAAGTCACATTTTCTTAAAATTCAAGGTAGTGAAGGGGTGAATAAAATGCATGATAGGAAATTAGGAAATTAGGAATTGAAACATTGAATTTACTCAAGAATGTGAGTAATGAACTTAATAATATTACTAATATAAAGTATGTTTACAAACGATCAGTAGATCTCGAAAGCTAGTAGTCTAGGCAAAAAAGATGAGATAAAAAATATGAGTGGGACGTTATTCCGACCTAGTCTAGCTCTCATCAGCAGTTTAGACAGGACCCGATATCGGATTATATCATGGCAACCTGTCTATGAAGTGGAGTGGTAGTAGCCACGATACTGGCAAATTTGTATAGAATCTCACTGGATGGGCTGATGGAACCTAGATGAGGTCGAAACTGCAATCCATCCTGTATGAGATAGCCTTTTGGGAGGCAAGGCTAAGTGAAATGCAATGGCATCCTGAGGCCTACTCGTCTTATCGTGATAGCACTATCAATCGTTAAATTGCGGTAAGCAACCTAGGATTAGTAAGTTCGTACATGAAAGAAAGTTTGGTCTACAATTATTGAGCACATTTACATTTCAAGTGAAACTTTGCGATAAAGATTCGATGGTCGATTTATTTTTTACCAATTGTCGTTTGATTTTACTGGAACACTCTGGCTGAAGCAATACTCAAAGAAGAGTACTTTAATTTCAGCTGTCAAATGACAGATGAAAAGTCACACTTTCATCGGAATCGAAAAAATTAGCCTCAGGAACGGCGTCAAATGTTTCGGCCAAGCCAAACGACAGATGTCTAGAAAAAGTCCGCTATCATCATCCGTTGCATCGACCATCTAACTGCTTTACCATATTTAGCTAAAAAAATGTTTGCATTTTAGAATAAAAGATTGGTGAGAGTACCAGGCATCATATGAACCTAAGGCTCCTAATTGTGAGGTACACAGTCTGAGACTAGATGACAAAATATAAGATTAGATAATGTAGTGACTAAACAGAATAGTTTCAAGTGTATGAGTTAAGTAGTGAGTGGAAGAGTTCGCGTGTACCATAGGGTGTGGGTGTGTGGAAGTGAAAGGGATGAAGGGAATGGAGAATCGATGGTATGTGCTATATGGTGTCAACAAACGAAAGAAACGCGACGTTTAGACACGGAGAATTTATTCGAAACCAATCTATACCAAATCCTTTTTCTTTGATGAAGGAAATAGTCCTATATTCAAGGACTTAGCAACATGGAAGCAGTGTATGTAGATACTACACAAGAGTAAGCATTAAAGCAAGTATCATCCAGAGGAAAATATGGCAGGATAGCCAGGTAGAATTTACTACCTTAATTAAAGATATCCTCGTTCTCGGAGAGACAATATTCAAGAATTTCTACAGGCGAGTCCATTTAGGCAATAAGCTGCTGTATAAAAAGGGAGATATAGTGCGTGATAACGTAGATGGGTAGAAGACGCTGTCGTCTCGAGGATGATTGTCCATGATAAAATCGATTCAGCTAGGAGTCATGAAAACCAAGATGATGTGGCCTTTTTTTGTTCGGTTTTCGCAACTCGATCAAGGCAAAAGGTAGACCTTATGGAATTGATCTAGTTCTGCATCATTTGTCATAGTATTCATGATAAGTTACAGCATCAGACCGTTGACTTGCTACATCCTAAGACGTTTCGCCGGTATAGTCAATGAGAGGAGTCTAGCACAACCACAACTTATCAATGACACGTGAAGGCAATCCCATCGACTAATTTTCTCATCAACCATTGATAAATCACTCGACCATATTTTTTGTCCTAGCTTCTAATGCTACATCTCTTTCTCTCAATCCCACTTCATATGGCCAATCCACCTGCTCGCACCATGTGTTATATTTTCTTTTATTGTCGCTTCAAGCGGATTTAGTGAAGGATAATCACCTTCAGCACCGGTTTCAGATGCCATTCGAGGGCTTCTAAGTTTTATTTAGCCCTCCTCCACCCACTTGTCAGTTGTTTCCTGTTAAATATTATAATCATTATTTGGCTTTCTGAAACCTAGCTGCCTATGAACCTTCAATTCCAGTCCCGTTTACGTAATAATCGAGAATTTAAGACCGGCAATTCTCATGTCTTCTTCTTCTTCTTAGGGTTTCCATAGGCTGCATTTTCAAATTATTATTATTATTATCATCTTGGCTTTATTGAAAATAAACTCAGATAATATTGAAAATATGATTAATAAGGAATTAAAGAAATCGTTTGACCTTGTTTTCGCAACTTGGTCATATCGGTAAGACTTAGAGGAACGTACCTAGTCCGGATTCTATTGTATGCATAATCATTCCCAGAGTAGGACCGTGAACGTGGTACATTCCCAGACGTTTCGCTAGCATCGTCAGTGAGACAAGTCTCTTTGACGAGTTTTAATATGGTGCTACGAATGGTGAGACTCACTGACGATGCTGTCGAAACGTCTGGGAATGTACCACGTCCATGGTTCTACTATGGAAATGATTATGCATACAACGGACTCCGGACTAGGTGCGTTACTCTAAGTCTTCCTACCAATATGACCAAGTTGCGAAAACAAGGTCAAA